AATGAATGAATGAATGTAGCTGGTCAAAAGGCCATTTCCCACATGCAGTCCTAACATTTGAGCATGTCCCGACAGCAAGAACCATCTCTATAGAATCTGTTTTCAGGTCATTTTCCGGGAAAAAAATCTTCTTTTACGTCCATTGATTGAACTCAGAAAGGACAACACTTGGCTTTCCACTGCAGGCTCACGAGACAAGCGTGAGTAAATGTTCACAGCAACAGCCCCATAATCTGCCCCTTTAGTCTGTTTCCATTGCTGCTCAGGATCCTACATTAACTTTTAGTGCGCCTAAAAACAGCAGCTACTGGGTGCGTTTCCAGGTCTATGAACATGGAGGAAACAGAACAATGGAGCTTTGTTGATGGCGATGTTCAGAAGGAGAAGACAGAAAAATGTCACTCTCCAAGTTCAGCGACTCAGCATCAGGAATCAGAAGAACAAGTGGGCATCTTACCAGTTCATCAAAGTCCTCATCCAGGACCAGTCTGGTCTTCTCCAACATCACCAACAACAGCATAAACTTCACTATACGGGCTAACCAAACCCACGTCCATTGTTCTGTTTCCTGCTCACGGACATGAAGTTACCTCCAGTAACTCGTCATTGTTTTGCTTCACTCAACAGTTAATGTTGAAGCTGTCAGATTTGACACTGCAATGGAAATAGAAAGGCTGCAAAGGCCGGTTATGGTGTTGTTACTGTAAATAACCCAAATTCCTGCAGTGGAAAACCATCTAATGTTCATATTCTGACATTAGCATTGGTTACTGTGATGATTTAACTTTTTAAATTATACATTTTCGATGGCCACTGCATCAGAAACGTATGTTTGGTTGTTACGAACAGTGAAATACAAAATAAAATGTAGATTATTTATTGTTAACCCTCCAGTTTGAATGGATTTTTACAGATTTTACTATGAATTTTCATTAGATAAAAGCTAAAGAAACATGTTTGTGAGGGTACCGCTCTCCTGTCTGTCCAACATGGAGCCAGCTAGCCCGTCTGCCTTCTAAGGTGTCCAAAGTCCACCTGCCAACACCACTAAAGCTCATTAGCTCGCATGCTAAGACAGAAATCTAATAACGCTGTGGCTTTACAACTTGGACTATTTTCTTGTTTGGGTGCAGTCACTTGCTCGCAGCCTCATCAAGATATTTCACAGTTCACTCCTTTAGGCTTTAGATGTTAACACAAACATATGAAAGAGGCTTCGATATTCTGACCAAGCATGAAAGCAAACAAGTGCATCTCTCGATTGTCTATTCATTCCTATAAATAGCTTCACGTTATCCGCTCAGACACATATATTAGAACGTGGAAGTACTAGACGTCCATTGTATACATAATGTACTGGTGCATTGTCCTGTTCTACTTTCATATAATGGGTTTGCTTCCAGTGAATTAATCAATATGGAGCACTTAGTGATGACAGCATTCATTTTCTCGCTCAACATGTGACCTCAGTCTGGAGGCAGCTGTTTTACTTTTTATGCAAACCACGGAGCATGTATAGGAGGATAAACTGGGGTAAGATGCCCCCCCGTCACTGATAATTAGATACAGTCAGGTTTTATTTTGGGCCTTCCCAATCTTTAAGTATTATTGAAATCATTGTACTGGTCTGAGAAAATCAGAAGTAGAGGTTTCAAGATCAGATGATGGAATATTCTGACAGGACAAAATAAACCTCTGTGGGTTTGTTTAAAAACAAAAAAACAACAAACAAACATATAAAAACCATCCTTTACTGTTAACATGACAGACGTGGTGGATCATCAATTGGTTTAATAAAAAAAATAAATAAAAAAAACTTTTTCTGTAATGTGAAAATATCAAAGTTGAACTTCTGAGGTGTGATTCATCTCATGGACACCAATGATTTTCTAAACTGTTAAACCTTGTTAATATTAGATTTCTGATAAATATTTACACTGTCATTTAAAACAGTAAAATAAAAGCTAAACAGCAGGAAAATGTATTTTCTGTATAAAAGTCAAACGAGCTGGCTTTAGGTAAAGCTAATACCAGTAGCACTAGCTAACTAGCTAACACTGTAGCCTTGCTAATATTAAATTTCTAAAACATTATGTACATCATCTCATACAGTAACATAAACACTAACTAGTACTAAAAATATATATTATCTTTCTAAAAGGCTAACGAGCTGACTTTATGTTAAGCTAATAATGTAATGCTATAATAGCTTGCTGTAGCACTAATTAACCAGCTAACTATATGCTAAGCTAATAATGTAATGCTTTATTAGCTTGCTGTAGCACTAACTAGCTGAGTTTATGTTAAGTTAATATCATAATGCTAGCTCGCTGTTGCACTAGCTAACTAGTCGATTGTATGTTAACCTAGTAATGTTATGCTATATTAGCTTGCTGTAATGCTAGTTAGCTAACTAGAACTTTTGTTCTATATAGGCAATCTTATGCACAAGTAACACGTTTGTATTGATCACATTTTTATATTCAGTTTACAATAACAAATCTGTAGTCTTGTATTTTTTGTTAATCTCTAAATTTGGTCACTGAAGTATACTTCTTGTGTACATATTCAAAGAGTAGACATTGTTTTCTGTTTTTATTCTACATGACGCCATTAGCATCAGGGATAAATAGTCAAAAGTCGCTCTCGTATTATTATTATTATTATT